ACTACTTCTTATATAATAGACCTTTAAAAGGCTATTATCCAGTGGACTTCTGAGAAAGCAATATTCTTTCCTTGTGTTACCATCAGGAATTGGCAAAAAGAACTTGTTACATATTTATCTAAATATGTTCCCATGCATAAAGATGCTTATCAAGTTACCTAGACAAATCTTAGTGTAGATAATTTAAAGGAATATTACCTATATTTACATGAACATCGTCATCAACTTTAATATAGAAGTTTGCATCCCACAAAGAGACTGCAGTAGCAAAATATGTTCTTGTTTTGGCTGATAATTCCAGATATCCTTCTACATGATTCTGCAAACAAATATATATCCATATTTACCATGTTTTCTATCTTTCTCATAAGAGATCTCTTTTAGCAGCATCTCCATATGTGACACTGATAAGTTACAGAAGACTAATAGAGAAAAAAGAAAAAACAAGTGTTTTACCAGCCTCAAGAAATCACCATGTTTTCTGTCCTCAGCCTCAATTGTTCTATCCAGAATTCCACCAGATGTGGCACTACAAACAAATTCCAATCGTTACTTGCTTGATATATGCAACAAAAGTTAGTAAGGAGTGTGATAAAATGTGGCAGAAATAATGCAATGAAGTCGATACTATGCAAGAATAAGATCTCTGTTATTTTCTCATCTTATTATTACTTCTGTTTAAATATTGAGCTGGTGCAACTATAAAATAATTAGGTGATTGGCTTATCAATCTAAGGGAGAATCAGAATTCAAAAAGATCAAATTTACCAGATTAAATAAAAAAAGCATTCCGAATAATAATTAGTAACCATTATTCTTGAAGATCCTTTAACAATATAAATAGAGAAAATCAGTTGAGAAATTTCAGCTTTATTGCTTTCTATAGGTCACTTATTTCTTGTACTCTTGAATAGGGTTAAGCCATCTAATTAGTACCTAATTTTATGGCCTTACTAGACCTCAATTCACAGAGCTGGTTTCGGGATAGATTTGTAGCAGACGTCAGAATGTAGAGAGAGAGGAGGCCCAGTATTGACTTCTAAGGTCTTAAGCAAGGTTTATCGTACCACAACATACCGCTCGGTATGGGCGGTACATATTGATCCGACAGGGGATTAGTATGGAAGGTACATCGGTACGCCCCCATATACCATGTGTTGGTATACTCGGTATAACTCAATACATACCGTACCAACAGCTGATCAGTACACCGGTACGGACCGGTAAGACGAACCATGGTCTTAAGCACAAGACCTTAGAAGTCTCTATTCTGATGAAGTGACAAGCACCTTAATCTGCTGCAAATTATGCATGTAAAAACAAAAAAAAGAAAAGGGGGCTTGGTGTGAGATGTGCTCGTCATAGTTTACTGAATCAGCATTGGGATTTGAGATTTTGTTTCTAGAAACATGAGTTCAGTTTATTGGACACATTTATGAAATCTGGTTTCAAATTGAATTCTGAGGTCTGATTCTGCCTCTTCTGTCGGAGCCCATTTTGTTAATAACCTTGAAATGAGATAGAACAAGAAATGATCGTATTGAAGTTAGGATATCTAAAGAGATATGCAGTACTTGATATCGGTGCCAATATCACCAGTATTGAAGTTAATGCACTGTTTGCAAGTGATCCAGAAGGAAATATATTGAAGAAACTGTCAGTGCTTAAACAAGTATCAAAGAATCTATTTTACTTTATTGAGAATCCAAGTGCAGTGCAACAGTAAGATTGCTCCATTGTAATCTAGACACCATGTTTACCAATAAGGAAAAAGGCAGGCCTAGAAATCAGTTAGTTTGATCTTTGTTAGCCCCAGTAGTTGCAGGTGCCTCTTGGCCCACGATACCATTATTCTTTCCTCATTTTCCTTTGCTTTCTCCTACAACAAGCTATACATGGAAACACAAATGCTGCTTATAAACAATGAGATAATGCTTAACAGAGATATAAACAAATAATAGGGCATACAACAATGTTTACTCAGTCCACTGGTCAGAATGATACCGGAATAGTGCTCACCCGTGACCAATAACAAAACGGATGACAATGCCCTTCTCTTCTTCAAGTTTCTTTCTTTTTTCACCTACAATATATTTGTGATCTGATCATCTGCCAAAGTTAATCCAGCTAATATGACAAGAAAAAAGAATATTAAATTGAATTACAAACCTTGAGGCATCCAAGTAGCACGAACAGAATCTCTTCTCTTACGGCTATTAAAAGCAGTATTGATTCCTATGACCATAAAATATTTGTGTCTTCTACTGGTGTTAATAGCCTTTGGCTCTTCAGCTAATGGAGAACGCTTGAGCAAAGATTCTTGTGCCATCCTTGCAGCTGCTAACTCCATCTCTAAGTTTGATATTGTTTTATTTAGCAACCTGTACACACAGATTTTCTATTTCTTGTTAGAATTAAAGTTATTCTTACCGATCTCGTGCTATTAAATGATACATAGAATTCCAAGCCTGAAATATTCTATGAAATCCAACTATAACAACAATGTATCTTACTGGAGATCCTCATCAGTTGTTGAGTTCTCCCCCAGAATTTTTCTGGCCTCTTCCTTCTGGTCCATCTGGAGAGAGAAGAATTGTCAAACAACTAAAAGAATTCAATATCTTCAGGATATAATAGAAATCACTTAATGTTTTGCAGGATTATCTGCATCAGCACTGCTTAGTTTCTACATATAATTGAGTTCCAAAAATCTTTGTACTGAGAAACTGAAGAGGAAAAAAAAAAGAAAAAAACTTAATCTACCGCATTAAAGTCATGTTAGCAAAGTAAATCCTATACTTGATTGGCAATGGTAAAGCAACATGAAGGTACTCACTAATTTTGGATAGTATCTTTCTGTAATGACCTCTTTTCTATGTTCCTTGGACTTGCTTGTTCTGATGATATCTTTTGCATCAGGCACCAACCACATCCTGTCATTTAGGCACAAAACGACTATGAGATAAACATTAAATCTATATTTTAACGAAAATATCAGGTCTAATACTTTGGTGACAACATCATATCAACAGTGTAAATCTGACTGAAGTGGTTGTGTATGATTCTTGTCACCAATAGCATTTCGACCAAGGTTCGCAATACTGCTTGATACTGTTCGGTACAGACAGTATTTATTTGTCTGATAGGATATCGATACACAGACTAAGGTAAACTGGACAATATGCTTACGGTGCTGGTATTGCCTAGTATCGAGCCGATATCACCTGTGACAAGGAAATACAAGCTCTACACATGGCAACTTCTTTTTCTTTTATTTTTAAGCCTTTTTTATGTTTTTCTAGAAAATCGATACATGCTGGTCGGAGCCCTAATCAGTACAGTACCGATGCACGAAATTACAAACCTTGATTTCAACAATGTCATTCTAACTTGAAGTCTATACAAAGACCACGTTCTTAAAGTTATGAATATTGACAGTTATACGTGTCCCCAACAAAATGTTCAATTGAACATACCTCTTATGAAATGTGAGCTAGCTTAGTTAGTAAATGCTTCTGAATACTGACAGAAAAATGTCTCCAGCCAAATGTTCTAACTGAAGTCACCGGTTATGAAGATATCAGTCAACCTAGTTGGCAAAACCCATTTTGGGATTAGACCCTACTTTCACCACTTACTTTTTGCACACACAGAAAAAAAAAGAAGCACCCATTATTTTCATAGTAAACTAGACAAATGCCTTTCTTCAACAAGAAGATCTTATAGGGACCCCAGTGGGAAGAATTACTGTGTTAATTAATTGTTCATTGTTAGTTTGCAGTTGCAGTCATTTACTCCTTTACATAACAAGTGTGCTTGGGATATTTGAATGATTTCAAATAGAGATCGCACTTGAAGTTGATGATTATTGATGAAACCAATCGACTGATCTATTAAAGCATTTGATCTCAACAACACACCAAAAGAAAAGGGGGAAAAAAATATCATCATCGGTCATGTCCCCAAGTCCAAATCACTGCCAAAATCCTCCATTCAATCACACCTCTTGGTAAAAAAAGTATTGAACATTGATAAAAATAGCAAAAAAACAAACTAGTTATTGTAATAGGTTTGGATGCAAAACCATGAATCGAGCCTTGATGAACTTTCCAAAGGATCGCCCAGTAGGAATAAACTGGGGGAGATGGAGTACCTGTTGGTGAAGACAAGCCCTGTGAAGAAGCTGCCCACGCAAAGCAAAAGGGTCCATCTCCTCGACACTGTCTTCTCTCCTCCTCTGCTCTTCCAACTCATTACTAGACCCTCCTCTCCTCTCTTCTCCTCTCTTCTCCTCCCTCACCCTCACATCCGAAGAAATCGGAGACCAGGCTTTCTTGGATTTGCAGTAAACGATGCTCTCAAGCTTTACGAAATGTTGGTGCTGTTGCAACTCCTCCCCAGATGATGAAAAGTGACACCCGAGCTTGCTTTCGCCGCGAGCTTTCTCGATGATTTGTTTCACTTTCTTGGTATTTTTCTACCCCATCTTTGTCGATCTTCGACTCAATCGAGTTCACCGATCGGCTTCTAAAACCCACTCTGACGTGATACTATTTTACAGTATCTTTTTTCCCACGCGACTCGCGTTACCCGATCTCACCAACCTGTCGTTGAGAAGCTGGGACCCATAAGTGGATCCCGGGACGCTTGCTGGTATAAAAGCAATGGGGAAGCACAAGAATTCCTCTTTTTTCTAACGAAAACAAATCTATCTCAGATCTATCACGAATCAAATTGAGATCTATTCTATTCTTAAACCGCGTTCGGATTGCTTTAATCTGGTTTCTGATGGATTAATAGTGGGTTCTCGACTCTGATATGGAACGATCAATCAAGTTTGGGTCAAAAGTTTTTGACCCTCGTTTATAAATACGGTCCACTTTAGGTCAGCCATAGATTTCTTTGACAGTGAAGTTTGAGCTCCTCTTTCAACTTCTCCTAATCAAGATGAATCACCATCATCAGAGAAGCTTAATCCACAATCAATCATATCACATCTATAACAAAACCATGAAACCAGAGCATTTGATTTATTTCAAACAAAAAGAAGCAAAAGAGTTCATCATCATCTTGGACTTCCAGCAGAAGGAATGTTCAGTTACAGATATCAGCTCAGAGAAAAGAAGAAAAGAGGTGGAGGATGATCAACTCGAGCAAAAAGCATCTCACGATCTAAGATGGCTTATAATACTTGGTTGGAACGAAGGGCATCTTGGTGACGATGCCATCGTTGGCCTTCCCACGAATGACGATCTTGACTTCAGTTCCAGGCTTGTGGAAACCCGACTCCACGTACCCCATTGCTATGTTCTTCTTCAAGCAGGGGCTGAATCCACCGCTGGTCACCTCGCCGATCTTTTCTCCGCTGCTGCTGCTCAAGATCTCGCTGTGGCTTCGTGGGGGTGGGCCGTTTGAGAAGAAACCGACACGCCTTAATGGTGGCCCTTCCTGTAGCTGCTTTAAGATCACTTCTGCTCCCAAGAAGCCACCTTCTGCTCTTCTTCTCTTGCCAATTGCCCAGGAAAGGCCAGCTTCAACAGGTGTGGTATGCTGCTCCATGTCATTGCCATAGAGACATAGGCCAGCTTCGAGACGGAGACTGTCACGAGCACCTAAACCTGTCAACCTCACCTTCCCTTCAGATTTCTCCAGAATTGCCTTTGTAAGATCTACGGCATGCTCGGATGGAACCGAGATTTCAAATCCATCTTCACCTGTGTAGCTGATGATTTCAGGAAGATTAGATAGTGGATTGCTTGTGATTCAACAAGTTGATAAAGTTTACCTCTGACTAACAAGCCGAATAAAGTGTTAGCAAAATAGTTCAAGAGCTGAGTATCGGAAGCTTTTAGGTATGATAAAGAGAGATGACTTTGTTGAATAAATTTGATTGAAAAGTTTGCAGATCAAGCAGGTGTGATTTTAATGAAATTTGTGATACTATGTCGTGCGATAACAGTAACTTGAATTTTTTTCTCGGTGCATCTTCCTCACTTGATTTCTTTCGTTGATGATAATAAATGGATAAAAATCTTTGATTAGTTCCTTTTTGGCATTCTCTTCTAGAGTGGTAATACTGTGGGTTTGAATATATCTAATGGTGGTAGGTCCTGATGTAACTGTTTATTTCATAGGCTCCACATAAATGAAGGGTATAATACCATGTAAAAGGATCGCGTTATGATGTTGGGCTATTTATCATACACTCGCTAGGAAGGCAAAAAAGCGATTATAAGTTTGTACATGAAAAATGCAAATTTGATGGATATGAAGTAAGGACTAGTGTCTATAGATGAGTATACAATGCGAGAAGGCACAAACACATTAATTCAAATGGTCCATATCTAGTAATTTCAAGCATTTGGCTCAAAGATGATTCTACAAGTATCGAGTGTGTATCTCTTAACAATTCTGGATTTCTTAAATACTATTGAAGAAATATAAGGTTAAGCAACTTTTCCTATCAAATTTAAGGTTTAATTAATTGAGGCTTGATCAACATGTCAATCAGAAAATATTAGATAAGAAGAAAAAAAATTGCTTGATCAATGATTATTTCCTCTACATTACACAAGACATATCATTCATTACTGAGAGCATTAAAGCTTCAAGGTCAGAAGTATGCAATAAAAGGCATGAGTAACTTGGATGCCGAAGAGAGCTGATAAGGTTGGTTTAGACAATTTGTTCATCTGTTTCACAAATTAAAATCCTATAGTCAAAAAACATGCACCGCATGCAGTTTGCAATTCTACTTTGAGACCATTGAAATTCTATAGTCAAATAATGAAAGGTTTCTCCACATATAAGAATAAATTTAGCGGTCTAAGTTATGGATTAGAATGCATCACATGCAGTTTGTAAGAACTTTTTTTTTGTCTCTATGTTTAATGCTCATGAGACATTATTGGTATCTATAGGAAACAAAACATAGGGCATTTATTCCCAGTGTGCAACTTTACTAACGACCATACTCACAATGACTAATATTGTTCAAATGCACTAATAGGAAACATGATGAAAGAAGAAAGAAGATCTACAGTGTACAAACATTCCTATGTGCCTTCCATGTTAGACTGTTTATGATTATAATTACAAACTTTCCTATGCTTGTCGGTCATCACAGCTCTAGCAACCTTGACATTATTGCCATTCATTTGTTTTTAAATGGTCACTTACTCGTCCAATCAAGACCTTGGCAACTGACTACACATACTGCTTTAAACTCATAAGATATAGAAAGCTCATACTAGAAGAGAAAAGGACATACCCAGTTCTTGTGAGGAAACAATGGGCTCCGTTGATGTCCAATGTGCGAAATTCACCAAAATAGATTTTGCTTAGATCGTCTTTCATTAATAACTGGAGAACTGGTGCAGCCATAGGACCCTGAGTTTGTGCATTAAACAACGTAAACCATTTGAGATTTTGTGAGTCGAGCAAATCGATGTGACATGGTAAGTAGGTAGCTGCTCTGTATAAACACAAGGAAAATTTGCTCTTACGGTCCTACCCAAAATGCACATAATTTTAAGAGTCCCATCAGGAATACATTATTCCATGAAATGTTTAGCGTTTAAGGCAAAAGCTCAAATGGCTGGATGCAAATAAAAGAAAGAGAAACTAATACAAACCGTGACATGATAAAACTTGCACACAGAATCATGCTCCAAATCTAAGCAAACCAACAATAAATATAAACATCGAGATCCACTTACCAAGTGCAAAAAGGTTCCAAGCCTGAAGTGACTAATGTCAAATCTAAAATTGCATATTACTCGAGAGATTTCACTGTCATACAATTCACATTCTCTAGCCTAAGTTGTATAAAGAGTTGTTCAAGATAGATTCAGATAACTACCAATTCCAAGGATTAGTCACCCCGGCAACATTTCAGCGACTAGTTATTTATGGAAGAAGGATCTGAATCAATATGAAAAAAAAAATCTAAGACTAAGAGATCTAAAGGGAAAAAAAATTAATAGATATGATCTAAAGAGAATTAGAAAATAGCCAAATTAAATGAACAAAAATAAGGAAAAAGTATACTGCTACTAGTATAATGATTATTTTGTAAATCAAGAACTGAACCACAAGGATCTCTATATTTAAACAAAACAAAAGGGAAAAGGAAGGCGTTGTTGGATCCGACCACTAAATGGTTCCACATGAACTCCAAAAGAACAGATCTCATATACCTGGAGCGCAAGCAGAGACCTTTCATCATGAATGTGCCACTCCACATCTCCTCCTTTGGCCTTGAAGGCCTCCAAGTGCGCGCCGATGTGCGCCAGGTCCTTGTCCCTGCACCCGGCGTTTACCACCAGGTAGATGTGGTCGTCTCCCACCTTGGTCACCACGGAATCGTCGATGGCGCCGCCGCGCTCGTTGGTGAAGACGGTGAGGGTCCCGGTGCCAGGGCGGAGGCCGGCGACGTCAGCGATGACGAGGGTCTCGAGGAATGGGGCGCAATCGTGACCGCGGAGGCTGAGGCCGCACATGTGGGAGACATCGAAGAGGCCGGCGGCGGCGCGGCAGTGGAGGGTGGAGTCCATGATCGAGTCCTTGTACTGCAGCGGCATGCTCCACCCGGCGAAAGGCACCATTTTGCCGCCGTGCTCGACGTGGAAGTCGTGGAGCGCCGTCTTCTTGAGCTCCACCGTCTCCGCGGCGGGGGCGGTGGCGAAGGCGCGGGGCATGGCGCCGGGCTTGGATCGGGCGAGGCGGCGGGCGAGGCATTGGCTGAGCTGCCAGAGGCCGCCTCCTCTCATCTTCGGCGGCGAGGAGGGATCGGGTCGGATGGCAAGGAAGGAAGGGATGAAAAGAGAGCGCAGCGTGTTGGTGCGAGTTTTCTGCGATGTGGAGATATATTTGCTTTTTTCTTATTGGCGCGCATGATGGGCCCCAATTTTGGCCCAATCATAATGCGAATATTATATAAAATTGGACAAAAATAAAAATATATGATATTAATTTTCTAATTATATAATATTACATTATAATCTTTGCTGTGTCCTAAGTGGGAGGAGTTGGTGGCAGAGGAATCTTTGCTGTGTCAAAGGTGGGCACCATGTCACTCTTTCCCTTGTTCTCTTTGTCCATCTCTAATTACCACGTATGTATATTGGTTGGCAGCAGGAGGGAGAGCATGAATTAGTATCAGCAAAGATTGCCTACCTAAGTATTTTTTTGATGAACAAGTTCCTTGGATACAAATCTAAAAAGTAAATCTTGATTGATGCGAGCGAAGTCACTCGTTTTCGTGTTGGAGTTGGTTGGTGGAAGCTCACATCTTTTGCTTATTATTTATTGATGAAGTGAACTTTCTTTCCATCACCGACCCCCTCCTCCTCTGTTTGAATCAAGCGAGATGGCTGTCTCAGAGGTTCGGTTCATGGATGGAGCTACGGAATCTTGGGAACTTCCGGCGGAGATGGATTCTGCGAGGTCATTGCAATAGATAGATCATGCATCACGATACAACTCTTCCTCTCTTATTATTCGAAATTAATATTCTTTTCCTATATCCTCCGATGTCTTCTGGGTATCATCATTATAGTGAATAGGGTCCAACGCCACCCAGTTCATCCTCGGCCAACTCGTAGTCCTCCGATGTCTTCTGGGTATCATCATTATATTGAATAGGGTCCAACTTGGGAGTCCTCCGTCCGGGAACAGAGCAGCAGCGTTTGAGGTGGGACGGCAGGTGATCAGTGCTCCGACACGTTCTGCCACCGGTTTTCCTCCCAACTTGTAGTCCTCCGTCCGGGAACAAAGCAGCACCGCTACGAACAGTCCGGACGACGGTGGCCGATAGTCATCTCATCAATTCTTCTCTTTTATGCCTCCGGATGGATTAATCGACGCGGATAGCCATCTCATCGATTCATCAATCTCTTGACTTTGTCTCCATTCGAGCGTTCCATCTTCTCTGCGTCTCTCTCTTTACATTTCGACGGTCTTGAGAATGGTTGCACTTGGAAGAGTCTCAAGGGGATCATCTGAGAGATAGATATGAGTTGTATAGGTTGAGATTGAATTATTATTTTCCGAGAAAATAATAATTTGAGCGGTAAAATTGAAAGAGGAATATGTGACATGGATGTCAGATGTAATTGGATGTTGCACTGTTTATCACCGAATAGCTAGCTAGCTGGCACCGTGCACCGACGAGAGGCGAAGTACCATTGGATTAATTGAGCAATTGGCAATCGCTGATCGGTATTGCTGTGAGTACTTGTTGTCCGACGAGCACGAAGGAGTAAGAGGACGATCGGTGAAGGCGAACGACTCGTCCACCGATGGTGGTTGGTGGTTGGTGGTTGGTGGTTAGTGGTTGGTGGCAATGACAAATCTATCGATCACCGCCGATGGTGATAGCAAGGTGCAAGAGGCAGATCAAATATGCAGATCGCAGGAGAGGCAGCAAATCGCTAGCGGTGATAGCAAGGTGCGAGAGGCCAAGTCATAGATCACGATCGTCGAAGAAGGAGAACAATCGCCGGAGGCGTCAGATCAAATCGAGGCTAACACAATAGTGGTAACAATAATTGGAGTGGGCTACATGATTTCCTAAGAATAACATGATAATTAATATTCGAGATGCATCGATACTTGGTCATCTCCACACAGCACCTCCTTCACTGCCAAACGTGTGGCATGTTTGAGGACGCGATCCGCCATATTTGTTCTTGTTCTTCGGTATTATCAAGAAGCATCTCAACAGCCATATCTTATTCAGTTTGATGATCCCCATTTTTCTTCTATCTCATCGAGTGCTCGCTCCACCCAGATGACATGAGAAATGCTGGCTTGCATTTACGATCAATGGTGGAACAAGTGAAGAATTAAGTTTGATGCCTCTTTCATCATCCATGTTTTCTAGCCAGTAAGAAGTGTGTCATCATCCATGTAACTCTGGCTGATGCTTCGCTCATCCATCCATGATATGCTGGCTGATGCTTCTTCGCCCCTCCCCCCGTTCTCGTTGGTAGGTGGAGCCACGATTAGCAAGAAAATTGCTACGTTGGCTGATGCTTCTTCACCCTCCATTATTGTTGGTAGGTGGAGCCACCAATTCGTAAGAAAGCAAGAACCGTATCGTCCATCCATGATATGCTGGCTGATGCTTCTTCACCCACCCACCCACCCACCATTCATTCTTGTTGGTCGGTGGATCCATTACTTTCTTTTCTTTTTATCACATTCCTTTAGCTTTTGAGCAACAAATAAAGAGAGAGAGAGAGAGAGAGAACAAAGATTAGAATTCCGCAGGGAGAACAAAGAGTTCATCATCATCCTTCCTCCTCCCCCAAAATTTTCCAACAGAAAGACTCCTCCATCTCAAGCAAGCTAATAGGTCCCTAATCCATCAGTATGTGCGTCCATCTTTCAACTCATGCTCACGGTGAAGAAGACACATTTCACATGAGCAGCGGAAGGAAACCTTTCTGCTAATTCTGTATAAAATCCTTTGTAAACGTTAGTCGATGCTACATGTTTCAAGAACTAAAGATCATCAAAAGGCAAAATCTATTTAAAGGCAGGCAGTCGTCACCTTTCGACGCCAACTCACAGCGCTTCTTACCAGAGATAAGTGGTTCTCTTCGGTACTACTTATCAGTTAGGTGTTCACTTTGATGTAATTTATTGCATCGATCAAATAACATCTCACATGTTGAATGAGTGCAATAAATAGTCGAGCGTATATAATATGATCAAAACAAAGCTGTTCGTCACACAGATGTTTAACGTGTCCTTATCTTCTATTTCTTTTCAAAAATAATAATAATAATAATAATAAATCCTCAATCTACCTTCTCCACTTATTCTTTGTTAATAATATACCCGTAGATAAATTATACATTTATAATCGATAGCAAAGTCTTTGATAGCAATCTTATATTCACAGCTTAATAATGACAATGAATAATAATAATAATAATAATTTATCCACCATGCATTCGACATGCTGTAGAATCGATAGCATTATGATTTCGAGTAGAGTGTATTGTAACATAATTTAATTTTGCTTATATTCATAAATTTCCAAAACCCGAGGCGGTAAGCTTACGGAGACGGTAAGTGGACGCATCGCCACCGGTGAAAACTATAAATGGAGGCCGCTCGGGAAAAGAGCGAGACAGGTAAGAGGGAGAAGGCTTTCAGCGTTCCGTATTCCTTCCGATCTCTCTTTCCATTTCCTCCCCCCCCAAAAAATTACCCTTTTCGATCTTCCCAAAAACCCCAACCGCGACCCCCCGATTGCGCATGGGATCGCTCGGATCTCTCGGCTGATCCGTCTTGCTGTGGCGATTGGTGGTTCTTTTTTTTTTTATATTTCGGAGGGGAATCTCCTCTGATTCTGAGGCGAACATCGGTTCCCTTGCGATTACGCATGAACTGGTTCGTGAACCTGGGGTTAAATTCGAATTCCAATCACTTCGTCACCTGCCTCCTCATCTTTATCCTCCATTACTCCCCTCAATTGCCCCCCTCGATTCTGAATTCGAGAAGTCGTTGGAGCTGCGATCCTCAGTTTTGGAGCCATGGAGAATCGCTGTGATGTCAACGGCGTCAATAAAGGTGACTCCTTTCGTGTAGAAATGTATCTGCTGGCAATTATTCCTAGAATTTTCTATTTTGTGGCTAGAGATGGTACTTTCTTTTGTTGTTGTTGTTGATTTGGGGGCTTTAGATAAGATGTTCATGGGGTTTCCGTTCAAAACGTGGATTTTCTTTTCACTAGTAGATTGATGATGCAATCGGTCGATCCTCGAAGGCCTAGCCCTACTAATTTTGTATGTGGTGGTCGATTAATTAGTATTGTATGAGGGAAGCAATATAAAATTTTTGAATTGGCACCTGAATCAGGTAGAATTAGGCGTGAAAATTGTGTCGGTCACGATGCATCTGCCCCTGGCAACGTTTTCTTACTATTATTCACTGTGGTCCATACGCAAACAATTTTGCATATGTACTTGTTCGATGGCAGTGGGCCCCGAGTTTAATGTCTTGTGTAGGTCTGCCAACAATTCGTTGGTGCTAAAGGATTGGAAGACGTGCACAGTCTGTGTAACGGTTTTGCAAAACATGGTTGGCACATCTAAAGAAATTGATCGGTGGGCAAGCAAGTGCTTCGAAGAGGTCATTTTATATGTCTCGATTGGTACTTTTGGTGGTTTTTCTGTTTTGTCCTCTGGTGCTTTTCTAGTGATTTTATTGAAGTATTACAAGGATTGCAGCATTCAACTTTCTTGGAACCCTTAATATCCAAATATTCCTCCATGCCCATGATCCTGATGCCTTGATCACCGCACAAATAATGTTATATAGACCTATGGTTTACCATGAGTTTCTTTATAGTTTCTTCCATAATATTGTTAAAGTTCAGTACTTTAAACAAACCCAAGTGACAACTAGAAGTTTGTGAGCAAATATTGGGGTGAAGTTTGCCAGTCGAGGAAGCGATCTAATTTTATTTACACCATTTAGCTACTCAAGATAGACCGATTATCATTCTACCAATAATATTAGATCATTCTCCGAGAGCAACCATATACTAACAAAAGCAGTTTTGATATTCCTTCATTCACTTTCTTTGTGCCACTTCATATATAAATTTTTATCTCGCATCTTTGGTCTTTTTTAGTTTGTGTTTGTGTCAAGCTTTCTGAGAGTTTTCCATGCATGCTTAGTTGCAAAATCCCATATCTGCCCAGGTTTCCATGTATATGCTTAGTGCATCAACATCCGATATTTCTAATACCCAAATGAATACTGAATTATTCTTTTGATGTCCTAGCAGCCTCTTGCTATTTAAATTCTGAGAGAAAGCAATCTCGTT